CCCACCAACTGTGCACAAGGGCTCCCTTTTCTCCACATCGACACTAGCATTTGTAGGTCTGCATTTATGCCAATGCCATTCTGTTTTGATTACTGTTGATTTGTAATGTATTTTGAAATCAGTAAGTGCAATGCCTCCAGCTCTATTCCTTCTCAGGATTACTTTGGCTGTTTGGTGTATGCTGTTCTATGCAGATTTTAAGATCGTTCTAGTTCTCTGAAAAATGCCATTGAATTTTGATAGGTATTGCATTGAATTGTAGGTTGCTTTAGGTAGCATGATCATTTTAACAAATTTAATTTTTATAATTCATGAGCAGAGAATGTCTTGAAGCTTATTTGTGCCTTAGTTTCTTTCATCGGTGTCTTACAGTTTTCAGTGTAGAGGGCTTTCACTTTCTTACATCTATTCTAAGGTATTTTATTCTTTTTGATGTAATTATAAATAGGATTGTTTTCTTAATTTTTTTGATAGTTTGTCATTAGTGTGTAGAAACACAGCTTATTTTGTATATTGATTTTATATTCTGCATCTTGACTAAGCTTGTTTATTCTAACAGTTTATTGATGGTGTCTTTAAGGATTTCTATATATAATATATTGTCATCTTCAAACTGTCAGTTTTACTTCTTCCTTTCCAATTAAAATGTCTGTTTATTTATTTTTCTTGACTAATTGCTCTGGTTAGGATTCCTAATTCTAGATTGAATAATGGTAGTGACATTGGGTATTCTTGTCTTCTGATCTTAGAGGTAAGCTTTCCAGCTTTTTACCATTGAGTATTTTAGCTGTGGGTTGGTCAGATATGGCCTTTATTATGTTGAGATATATCTGTTATACCCAGTTTATGGAGAATTTTTATGATCTTTTCTTTCTCAGTACTTAAATTTACTTCTTTTCTTATAAGTATGTAAGGCTACAAATATCCCTTCAAGTACTACTTTACTTTGGCTTTATAAACTTATAGAAGTTTGATAAACTGTTTTTTATTTTAGTTGTTTTAAGTAAAATTTCCATTATAATTTTTTGACCAAAGAATATTTGAAATGTAATTCTTAATTTTCACATATTTTCAGGGCTTTTTTTACAGTTGTGATTGGCTATATAATGATAGTTTCTTGAAATTTGTAGGGCTATATAATAATAGTTTCTTGAATTTGGCCTAGAATTGGTCAGTATTCTAATGACTGGGTACTATATTCATTAGACTGTGCTTGTTATGACTGTTCTGATACTCTGTATCCTTTATTATGATTTCTTATGCTTCATCTCTTTAATTGAGTTGATTACTTCTTTCATTGTCGTATCTGATTTTTCAGTTTTTTTCAGGTGGTAGTTTACATTTTTGCTTTTTGGTTTTTGAATCTAACTTAAAAAAGATACATCTAAGTTTTGAATTCTTAGATTTTCCTGAAATAATGAATTTTTTGTCAATATGTAGTAGCCATAAATATGTAGTAATTTTTTGTCCCTTAAAGTCCATTTTGTCTATTATAGAGTCCCACCAATTTTCTTTAGGTTAGCATTTTATAGTATATTTTAATCTTTTTTTAATCATATTTAATCTAACCTGACATGCCTTCTGTTGTATATCAGTTCAGAGACATTAATATATGAGAAACTGGTTTGGCAGCAGGTAAGATGTCATCAACTATAAGTTGTATCCTGATTTCAGATATGTTAATATATGAAAAAATGTACAGCAGGAATTTATGAAATAGAATGCTTTTCAACGTGTCCTTTTTTTAGGTATATCTTTTAAAAATAGTATTTAACTGGAATTTTGTATTTCCAGTGTAGTTAACATACCATTTTATGTTAGTTTCAAGTGTACAATATAGTGATTCAGCGGCTCCGTATATTAGTCAATGCTCATCAATATATACTTAACTGGAATTTAAAAATCTAGTCTAAAAGACTTTGTCTTCTTTTTTTAAATTTAAATTCAATTTAGTTAACATATAGCATATTATTAGTTTCAAGGGTAGAATTTAGTGATTCATCAGTTGCATGTAACACTCAGTCCTCATTAAACTGAAGTGAGGGCATCTGGGTGGCTCAGTGGTTGAGCATCTGCCTTTGGCTCAGGTCATGACCACGGGGTCCTGGGATCAAGTCCCACAACGGGCACCCCACAAGGAGCCTGCTTCCCTCTCTGCCTATGTCTCTGCCTCTCTGTGTGTGTCTCTCATGAATAAATAAGTAAAATCTTAAAAAAAAACTGAGGTGATTAGGACATTTACTGATACATTTGGATTGATATCTACTGTTGTACCCTTTGCCTTCTTTTTTTTTTTTTTTATTTTTTTATTTGCTTATGATAGTCACAGAGAGAGAGGCGCAGAGACACAGGCAGAGGGAGAAGCAGGCTCCATGCACCGGGAGCCCGATGTGGAATTCGATCCCGGGTCTCCAGGATCGCGCCCTGGGCCAAAGGCAGGCGCCAAACCGCTGCGCCACCCAGGGATCCCTGCCTTCTTTTTTTTAAGATTTATTTATTTATTTGAGAGAGAGAGAGAGCAGGAGTGGGGACAGAAGAATAAGGAGAGAGAGAATCTCAAACAGACTCCCTGCTGAGCTTGGAACCCAATGCAGGGCTTTATCCCATGACCCTGAGATCATGACCTGAGCCTGCATCAGGAGTCAGATGCTTAATTGACCAAGCCACTAGGTGCCTCTGTCTCTTTGCTTTCTATTCTACATTTTTGGCATTTCTTTTTCTACCCTTTCTCTATTTCTCCTTTTCTCTTTCTTTTCTTTTTGTATTGATTTTTTCCTCTCCTCCCATTTTATTTCTCTACTAGTGTATGAGTTACATACTATACTTCTCTTCTTGTTTTGGTACTCCATTGATTTTAATATGCATTTTTAAAAGTTAAAGTTAGTATCTTTACTACCTATTCATATAAATGAGGACTTTGTATAATTTTAACTCTAGTCATATCATTCTTGACATATGCTAATGTTATCCAGAATTGTAGGTCTCTCATTGATGTATTTTAAAATTCCACAAAGGAGGCATCATTGTTAGTGTTTCATGCTCTCAATATATATTAAGGTTTACTTATAAGCTTCAAATTTTCTTTGCTTACTGCTTCTTCTTGGATCATTTTCTTTTTCTTGGAATATGATCATTAGAAGTTCTTTTAGGAGAATTTATTGGTACAGCACTCAGGTTTTATTTTTCTGAATATGTACACTTATACTGCCCTATTTCTGGGAAGATAATTTTGCTGGATATGCTATTCTAGCATAGCAGTTATTTTTTCTAAGTATATTGAAAATCTTTAATAAATAATTATAATTTCTTCATATCTTTTATTAATTCCCTCTTCGGTTGTATCTGATTATTAGTACATCCATTTAATTTTTAATGTCAAATAGAATTTTTTTAGAAGTTCTGTTTGTCTGTTTTTTTCAGAGCTGTTTATCATCAGCCACTGCTTTATTTTTTCTAGATCACTAAAAACCATGGCTATGACAGGCAAATTTCCTTTGGTGTGTGTTTGTTTATTGATTTGTTTTCTAGATCATTAACTGAGAGCATCTCCTTGGAGATAGAGTCTTTCCTTATGGAGAGGTTTCTGATTCATATTTGCAACATACTTGGTCCCTAGATTCTGGAGCCCAACAAGTGCAAACACAGATCACAGAAAATGAAATATATATCTTTCTTTGATCCTTCTGATATTTTCTACCATTATATCTGTGTAAACCTATGAAATTATGATTTCTGACCTGGATTTGTTTTGAGTCATATTTTCTTGGTGTGCTTTCCATCTCTTTAATTGTTCTGTATTCATATGTATTTTGTAGGCAACTTGTTGTTTGTCCTTATTTACTTTAGAGAGCAATTGCATGTGAGCAGGGAGAGGGGCAGAGAGAAGAGGGAGAGGGAGAATCTCAAGCAGACTCCATGTTGAGCACAGAGCCCAATGGGGGCTTGATCCCATGACACATGAGATCATGACCTGAGCGAAAATCATAAGTTGGACACTTACCTGATTGAGCCACCCAGGCATTCGAGTCCTTATTTGTCTTAATTAAACTTAAAAATTAAGCTTTTACTGTTGAGTTTAACCCATTTAAGATTTTTGTAACTTATTTTGTATTAGGGATTATTCTGTCATCTTATTTTTTTGTTTTGAATATACTATATTTTCATATTTTGCTTCTTCATTTGATAGAGATTTTATTTAATACTTTTAAGATTTTACAGAATATTTGTATTGTTTTTGCTTATGTCAATATCTTGCTTATATTTTAAAATGTATTTTTCTGTTTCTCTTTAAATATAACACTTCCTCTTCTAAACCAGACATCCGTTTTACTGCACTTCTTCATTTAATTTCTTCTTCTTATTGTTTTCTCTTAACCTTATTTTGTCCTCCTGTATGGATAGCATTAAGAATTTTAGATATGGATTGTAAGCAGTGCTTCCTCTCTTCTAACTCTGCTGCTTCTTCTTTCCCCAGTGGAAAATGCTTAGAAGTGACTAGTTTTTCTGAACCTCTTATTGTCTTCTCTTTGCTAAAGCTGAGCTGACCTCAAACACTAACCTATTATATCTCACTGACATTAGGCTGGTAGTGCTGTTTGTCTGCACTGCAGTGGGTACTGGACAGGCAGTGATTCTACCTGAGACAGAAAGAACTCAGAAATTTCTTTCCAAAACATCTAGGTTTTCTGGTTCTCTTCTCTGGAAATCTTTTCTCTCTCCTCAGAACATTCTCACAGTTCTTGTGTTAATTCCTTATGTCTGTAAGCCTCAGCTGAACTTCTGTAACATCTCAAGGCTTGACTGTGTGAGAGGGAGTTGGCAGTCTATACTAGATTGTCATTTTTTTCAGGAAGCTAAAGTCTTCATAATATCATTACTATAATTGTATATGGAGTGCTAAATATTTTGGAGTTTGCTCACCAGTAGCTTAATAAATAGAGAAGTATTTCTTAATGGAGTAAAACATACTAACTTTATTTTTAAATGTTTAATCTTCCCAGTTCTGACAGTATCAGCAGTGATGAGGAAGAGCTGAGGACTTTGGGAAGCAGTGGTAGTGAAAGCAGCACTCCAGAAAATGTCGGGCCTCCTTTCATCATGGATGAGAATAGTTGGTTCAACAAGTGTAAGAGAGTTAAACAGAAGTATCAGCTAACCCTGGAACAGAAGGTATTTATCAGTTGCCAAAATTCATTTCATTTGATTCTTGTTACTGTCTTTGGACTGTCACTGCCAAAAGATCTCTTAGCTGAATGTAAGTGCTGACCCACTGCTTGTTTCCTTTCTGTTCTTGACTTGTCCTTGTCTTGATGAAAAATCAGGCAAAGTCTTAAAAGAGGCTTTTGTTTGTTCATCTTCTTCTAATTTTATGTTTTAATATAAAAATTAGCCATTTAGGGGCACCTGGTTGGCTCAGTGAAGCATCTGACTCTTGATTTCAGCTTGAGTACATGATCTCATGGTTGTGGAATTGAGCTCCACGTTGGGCTCCATGTTGAGCATGAGCCTGCTTAAGATTCTCTCTCTCCCTGTCTCTCTCTGTCCCTCTCGCCCTCTAGAAACTTTTCAATTAAATTAAAAATAAGTCCTTTGTTCTTCTGTATGTGGTTTCAGTTATATGTTTGGGATTTTAGCCTTTATTAGGAGGATAAAGATAAAGCAGTTAAATATGAAACAAAAGAATTCTATATTAATATCATTCAACATAGACCTTAAAGCAAAAGCATTATTAAGACTAAAGAAATACATTGCCTTTAAAAAAAAAAAAAAAGAAACTGTTCACCAGGAATATATAACATGGTGGAGATGAGTAAAATGGGTAAAGGGGTTCAAAAGGTGCAAACTTCCAGTTTACCCACCTCCAGTAAACATATCTTACTGAACTTCAGGGAATGGCTTTAAGGATGGGAAATACACATTAAATTTTATATTCATTTAAAATGATGATCTTTTTACTATTTCATCAGTAATAATTTGAGATTATTTCATTATGATATGGAAAGAATAGCAATTAACCTACTCAGTATTTATCTTCAAAATATACATTAGAATTTTGCAGTTGCTTTATCTTGTTGATACTGTATTTTCAGGGTTATCTTGAAGAACTCTTACGACTTCGAGAGAACCAGCTGTCTGAATCTGTCTCGCAGAATAAGATACTACTTCAGAGGATCGAAGATTCTGATCTGGCCCATAAATTGGAAAAGGAACAATTAGAATATATAATTGTGGAGCTTCAAGATCAGCTGTAAGTGAGATCCTTTTAGGAAAATCTTGGCAGTATGTAGACATAAGAAAATGTCATGTTTTGACATAGGATTCAAATTCCAAGAAGTCTGGTTTCTTGCTGTTAAGTTCTTTTTCACTTATTCTTTTTTAAAAGTTTACTTTTCCTTTTCTCATTATAAAAGTAATCCATTCTCATTACAGATATTTTACAAAATATAGAAAGAAAATAAAAATTATCTTCAGTTGTGTACTACCCAGAGTTAACTTCTATAACTTGATGTATATTCTTTCAAATGCGTATACATAATTTAAAAAGTATTTAGTTAGTTATTGACTGAATGACTGATTGATTCAAAAGATGGTATATAAGACCAGTATCACTCAAAGTACAATGATGATGCAATGTTTGTTACCATGTGTGCCAGAATATCACTTAGCACCATTCAGTATAGCTTTTTTCCATAGCAGATTTGGGTTTTGTTTGTTTTTGTTTTGTTTTGTTTTTTACTGAAGAAAGGTATGTATTGATCTACGCTCTGGTATAAGCTCCATAATTTGTCACTATTTAAAGCCCTTGTATTAATCATACCATTTTGTGAAACTTGATTTTATCAATTAATTGTTTATGGTGAAAATTTCCCGCATTAATATTTATTTAATCTTAAAGGATAATTTTAAAAGTTTTTATTTTGAAATAATTTCAGAATTTTAGAGAAGTTGCAAGGGTAGTGCAAAGAATTTCTATAGGCTGTTTCTTAGTTTTGCCAATTCTCAACACATCGCCACATTTGGTCATAATTCTCTCCCTCTTGCATACATCACAACTCTTTACCCCATAATACTTCATTTGTGTCTTTCCTCAGGACAAACATAATCTCTTATATAATCATAGATCATCTATCAGTGTAAGAAATTTAAATCAGGGTAATACTTTCATATTATCCATACTCATTTCAATTTCATTAATTGTCCAGTAATGTCTCCTATTACAGCTTTTGTTTTTCTGGTACAGTATCCAGTCCAGAATCATGTTTTGCATTTGGTGGTTTGTTTCTTTACTTACCTTTAACTTAGAACAGTTTCTCACTCTTTGTCTTGTATGAGATTGGTATTTCCGAAGAATGCAAGCTGGTAATTTTATAGAATGTCCCTCAGTTCGAATTGGTTTGCTTTTCCTTGTGATTAGAATGAGTTTATCCATTTGTGTTTGGAATATAAGTGGTGTGTGCATAAGTGTTGTGGATATCATATCCAGAGGTCTATGGAGTCTGTTGGCCTTTTATTACAGAGATTTAATTTTAATCATTTGGTTAAGGTGTTTTTTTCTCTATATAGTTATTGTGGTTCCTTTTGTGATTAACAAGTAATTTCCAAGGAGATCCTTTGAGACCTAGTAAACATGAAAGATGACTTCTTTAAGTAAAAAAAGCTTTTATTAATAAACATAAAACTTCAATATTTTCTAGGAATTTGTATCTTGATGAAAAGAATTATGTACACATACTATTTCTTATTTTTTCCTAATATTTTACTGAGAGCGTCCTATGGAGTATCACTCATTGAGTAGATTAATACCTTCCAAAACTCTGGTTCTGTAAGCAGGGAGAAAAATATCAAGAGCCAAACAATAGAGATTTCTAGTTACTTATTTATTATTAAAAGAGTAAGAAGATAATTAAATTTTTCTTTTGCTGTTGATACTGGTAGTTTGTTTCAGTGTTTTTAACTTAAAAAATAATTGTAAAATCAGTTTTTATTTTATCAAAGAGATATTTTCATTTGAAAACTAAAATGTATCACATTTATTATACTTCTAATAATTTAAAGGAAAAGACTCAAACTTCTTAGTTTTAGAATCTGAGTTACAGTTTTAGAATACTTTTACGATAGAAGAGTGTCATTGATAGAGTTTTCTTAGTGCCGCTAAGGATGTTTTAACTAAATATTACCAGAGCAAAAAAGAAATACTGAAGGCCACCCATCAGAATTAGGCTATTTTCTTGAGTTTAGGGTCACAGATTTACTTTCATATAACATGGCTACACTCTTAGCCAGGTTAGTTGGTGTCTTACAAGATGCCTTTGTAAAAACACACACACACACACACACACACACACACACACACACACACACACAAGGATACTGAAGAAGAGTAAGATATATTCCTTTGAGAATCTTCACAGTTCTCACTACATTAACTGGATCATATGTAAGGTACAGAATACTCTGGGTACTTTTGTGACTATAAGGAAAGTGAACATTTTTTTCCTTATTTCCTTGCTGAGATTTTTTTATCAGCAGTTATAAAGGCCTGCAAGAAGTGCTGGACACTGGAATTCTCTTTGTTAATCCTGAGATTGTAGTAGGGGCCCTGAGAAGATTAAAATTTATTAGGCATAAAGGAAAAGGTGAGGAGAGGAGTATTAAATGGATTATGAAGCATGTAATATTTGCTTTCACATTATGTTAATTATCTTTTCTTGGTTGATTTAAATCCTTTGCCCCTTACCTTATTCTTTTTATGTATTTCTCAGTCCTTAGATGTATTTTTGAGTAACTGTTAAAGGATGCTTTAATTTGTCTTTGAATACTCATAAAATGTGGACATCCTATAGTTTTGGCAATAGAGTATAGGTGAGCATGGTATACTAGAGGAGCATTCTAAAGCTTTCTTGCGAATATGGACTATGTTCAGATACTGGCTTTATATTTGCCTATTATGAGCTCAATCTTAATTAATGTCTTGGGGCCTGTATCTCCTTATCTGTAAACTGGAGATAATACTTCCTTATGGATTATCATGAGTATTAAATGCCATCATGTATAATATAGTTAGAACAAAGAAACATTCAAAGATCATTCCTCTGTTTTGGTCTATAAAAGGTATGAAAGGTTATTTAAGGTATAAAAACCTTAAAAATCTCCTTAATAGATACACTTGGATAAATGGTAAATTTTATTTTTTTATTTTTTTTATTTTTTTATTTTTTAAAGGGTAAATTTTAAATGTTTTACTTTATTATGCCTAAATGCTACAGGTCAAACAAATGAGTTTGGACTTTGAATCATTCTTTGGAAAGTCTCTCATGAGATTATGAAATATATTGTTTATGGCCTTATAAAAAAACTTACTGTCTTATTATTTATGCTATTTGGTGGCATTTTTGAGTTCAGTTTTATTCAGTAAACATTTATTTAAATGTATTATTCTGTGCTTCAGAGTACCCAGAACACAGAGAATAAGACATACTCTTTTTACAAGGAGCTCATAAGTTAATGAAGAGGATAGATTGACGTTATTGGTCACCTTGTTAACTGAAGAATACCATACATGGGAGGAAAGCTTTGTCCTTACCATCTTGTACAAATGATTCTTTGTAAAACACTAATTGCAAACCTTAGGATGAGAGAGCCTAAGAACAATATGTAAAACCTAAATACCTTTGTCATGATTAATACCAGTAAAATTTATAAAAAGGAGTTTTTGCATGTTAGCTGATGCAGATTTTCTATTTATGGTGTGAAAGCCTATAGGAATAGGAAGATGTCCTGTAAGACTCCCTTGTGAAGGAACTGAAGAGTCTAGCTAACAAGTAAAAAATCATGTATTGTTAAAACTATGCCATCATTTAGTTCAACAGCCAGGTTTGTGTAGTTCACGGTGAACAGTGATAGAGTGATCTGTCAGCCTGCAGACTGTAAGTCAGTGATGCTGTGCCATTTTGCTTCATAAATTTTAGGGTGAGTGGTACAGATCCTAACAAGAGAGTGCAATGATGTCATCGTGGCCCAGTTAATACTGGACAAATTATGATGATTGTTGATTATATATTTTTTGGCAGGTAGCAATTGTTATTAAGTTAGTAAATTAAGGGGGGAGGGGCAAGATGGCGGAAGAGTAGGGTCCCCAAATCACCTGTCCCCACCAAATTACCTAGATAACCTTCAAATCATCCTGAAAATCTACGAATTCGGCCTGAGATTTAAAGAGAGAACAGCTGGAATGCTACAGTGAGAAGAGTTCGCACTTCTATCAAGGTAGGAAGACGGGGAAAAAGAAATAAAGAAACAAAAGGCCTCCAAGGGGGAGGGGCCCCGCGAGGAGCCGGGCTGAGGCCGGGGCGAGTGTCCCCAGGACAGGAGAGCCCCGTCCCGGAGGAGCAGGAGCTGCACCAACCTTCCCGGGCGGGCGGAAAGGGGCTCGCAGGGAATTAGAGCAGGACCCAGGAGAGCGGGGATGCCCTTGGGCTCCCGGGGACACTAACAGACACCTGCGCCCCGGGGGAGTGCACCGAGCTCCCTAAGGGCTGCAGCGCGCACGGCGAGGCCGGAGCAGCTCGGAGGGGCTCGGGTGGCGGCTCGCGGAGGGGACTGCGCGGCCGGGAGCGCAAATCCAACAGCGCAGGCCCCGGGAACACTGGGCGCCGGGACACAGCCCAGGATCCGGCCTACCCCGGGACAGGCAGAGGCCGGGAGGGCCCAGGACAGCAAGGACGCTCCTGCCCCAAGCTGAGCAGATCAGCGGCCCTGTCCCCAGGGCATCCAGGCCCTGCAGACAGAGAGCTCCGGAGTTACTGCGGGAGCTGACTCCAGGGCTCCAGAGCTGGCCCCGCCACTGCGGTTGTTCCTCCTGGGGCCTCACGGGGTAAACAACCGCCACTGAGCCCTGCACCAACACCTGAAAATCAGCAGAGTAGGCAGAGTAGCTCCCCCAAGTGCTAACACCTGAAAATCAGCACAACAGGCCCCTCCCCCAGACGACCAGCTAGATGGACCAGTTCCAGGGGAAGTGGTTTTTTTTTTTTTTGCTTTTTGATTTCTGTTTGCTTCCCCCACCCTTTTTTTACTTTCTTTCTTTTTCTTCTCTTTTTTCGTTTTTTTCTTCCTTTTTTCTTTTTTCTTTTTCTCTTTTCTTTCCTTCTTTCTCTCCTCTCTTTTTCTCCTTTTCCCAATACAACTTGTTTTTGGCCACTCTGCACTGAGAAAAATGACTAGAAGGAAAACCTCACCTCAAAAGAA